CGCATTGCTTTGCTTAGCTTCACACGTGACACACTTCAAAGACATTGATAGTGTGTATAGCACAACGACGATGCTAGTTTCTCATTGCTCTTGTTGTGGCCACACCAATCATCCTTCGGTTCGATGTTGGGCCAATTTTTCCTATCTTCGCATCGCATGACTTCCTTTTGGAACATCTACTTATGCCAGTAGTTCTCTCAATATTATTATTCCTTTAGGCTTGGTATGATTTCTTACAAGGAGCATGATCATTTGGTTTAGATTTTCCTAAACCTCTACATCTACTTCTCATGTTGTTTTCTCCTTATATTTGTTGCAGCAGTCTTCTCATGTATGTCTGGATTTTGGATTATTTCTTCCTATATGCCATGTGACCACGCTTTTTATCCTTTGTCCACATAAAGTCAATTTCTTCTGTGATTGGGGTTGATGGGTCTCCCCTGTCTCTTGACAAGGCATTATAAATCCATTAAAAGCTCTCTACGATGATAAAATTATTATCTGTATGTTGTTTTACTAAGTTTCATTATTGTCGTATAACTTTCTATCTCTCTCATTATATCTTTCTGAATCTTAGCTCTAAAAGATGATGGGTGGAAATGTTGAAGCTTATGAAATCCTACTTTACAACTATTGTACCTTTTGCTCTTTTCTTCACCTTTACTTCTTTTCAATAGCATTTTCAACTAAAGTCATCTTCCTCCCAACAAAATTTAGCCATTTAGGATTTTACCTCTAGCTTTTCCTTTATACTACACTTTCATGGTCATGCATGTGAGCTGGATAAACACCATCTTGTGTCATTTCCATCCTCTACCAGATGTTGTTTTTCTCATTCTTTTACATAAACAAACTAACTTTATTGAACTAGTTGTAATTTCTTATAGGATGATGAGGCTTTCAAAATATTTTGGTACTCATGTCTTCAGTGTAGAATAAGTGGCAAATATCTTTATGAAAACTGTAGGACACGTACATTTTTCTCTTTTGTAATAAGCTACAGCTAACAATAAATATTTAATAATTTTTCCTTATTAGGCGGGACTCATATTGGAAGGAGAATATATTAGCAAGATACATTTTAATATATTCATAATTGGAGCTATTCTTTCATATTATTTACCATCTGATTGTGTTCTCATATGTGCTTGTGTATGCTCGTAACAAATTCAATCAATAAGACAAATCCTCCTTTCTTCTTAATAACTACCCGCTGATTTCCATTTCAGAGTTTTTAAAGCTTCATTTAATAGAGGTTAAATCTATTAATTTTTATTGAATTTATGACTTATGAACATTGTCATTGCTGGGTCCCAAGTCTTGAATGTGGAAAGTGGAGGGTTGCGTTAGATAGTCGACAACCAACGTTAATTTTTTGTCTAAAAATTATGACATGAATACTTTAAATCACTGTGTAAATGCTAGGATATTCCCTGAAAGCGAAATATTGTGTGATCTGAATGCAATGAAAGTATGCAAGGGCCGCTACACCGGCCTCTACGTGTAATGTCAAATAAACAATAGTTCCCACATTATGGACAAATGCAGACAAAGAGGTTAATTCATGAAACTAATATTTTGATAAAATCTTAGAATATAGATACTTTCACAGGTAAATTAATGGAATTAGTAGATAATATGATTTATAGGAAGATAAATATCTTATGCATTCAAGGGACTAAATGAGTTGGAGAAAAGACTAAGAAGATTGATATCTTAGGTTAAATGAGTTGGAGAAAAGACGAAGAAGATTGATATCTTAGATTTTAAACTTTGGCCTTCAGGTAGGAATTGCACTAGAAATAGTGTAGGTGTAATTATTGATAAGATTTTAAAGATAATTTTATAAGAATAAATAAAATTGGAGATAAAATTATAGCCCTAAAGATTATTGTTGATACTAAGATTTTTAATGTTACAAGTGTTTATGCTCCTCAAGTAGGTTTAGATATATGTTGAAAAGAGAAATTTTAGAATGACATAGAAGAATTAATACAAATGATACATCTTGAAGAAAAATTTTTTATTGGAGATTTAAATAGACATATTGTTAATGGCGGAAGATTTTAGAAATATTCATGCTGACTACGATTTTGGAGTGATTAATGAAGAAGGTATAATTATTTTAGATTTTATTTTAGCTTATGATTTTGTTATTGTTAATATTTTATTTAAGAAAATAAATGTGCATTTTATTACTTATAAGAATGAATCTAATAAAACAACTTGTTTATTTTCTCATGAGAAAAAGAGATCGTTAAGAATTTAAAGATTGTAAGGTTATTCCAAGTGAAAATTTAAATATTCAACATCATTTAATTATCTTGAATTTTAAGATGAGAAGTTTAAGATAAAAAATATAATAAAAATTGTCATAAAATTACATAGGGCGTCTAAAAATCACAATTATCTTTATGAGCAAACTTCAAGATTTCAATATTTGAGATATTTATGAATAAACTAATTCACTCTGAGATAAATTAACAAGAACTATTATACAAACGACAAAAAATGTACTTGGAGAATCAAAAAGAAATATTTTTATAAATAAAAATACTTGTTGGTGGAATAATGATGTGCAAGAAATGATAAAATATATGAAGTTTTGTTATAAAAATTAGTTTAAATGTAAATGCTTAGAGAATTGGGAAAAATATAAGAGAATAATTTGTGATGCTAAGAATTATGCTTTTAGTGATCTTTATAATATATTTAATACTAAAGAGATAATATATTTAATACTAAAAAGGGAGAAAAATAGATGTATAAACTAGCCAAATAAAAAGAAAAGAAATGTAAAAATTTAATTTAAGTGAATTGTATTAAGATGAAAATTAAAAAGTGTTTTTTTTAGAGGAAGATATTCAACATAGGTGAGAGATATTTTGATGAATTTTTCAATGAAGTTTTTGAAAACATTACCGATCTTAGTGATTTGAATATCGTTAATAATAATAAAATTTTTATTTTTACCGCGTATTAGTAAAAACAAAGTTGAAGAAGCTTTAAAGAAAATTAAAGGTGGAAAATCAAGACTTAATGATATCCTAATTGAAGTGTGGAAATATGTAGGAGATTTGAGAGTTTCTGGCTTACTAAACTATTTAATATTATTTTAAAAACTAAAAAATATTTGAGTGGAGGAAGAGTATTTTAGTCCCCATTTTTAAAAATAAAGAGATGCACGAGAGTATGCAAATTATAGAGGAAATAAGTTAATGTGTCATACATTAAAATTATGGGAGAGATAATTGGACATAGCTTAAGACGTGCTACAAATATTTATCATAATCAATTTGGGTTTATGCCTGACAGATCTACTATGGAAACTATATATTTATTGAGAGGTTTGATGGAGAGTACAGAGAGACTAAGGAGGATCAACATATGATTTTTATTGATTTAGAAAAAAAACATACTATAAGGTTCTAATAGAAATTCTTTGGAGAGTTCTAGAAAAGAAAGGTGTTGACGTGTCTTATATTTAAGTCTTTAAAGATATGTATACTGGGCCTATTATTTGTATTCGAATAGGAGGATTGATCAAGTATTTTTCTATTTCAGTTGGATTACATCAGAGTTTGGTTTTAAGCCCATATCCTTTTGCTTTAGTTATGAGTGCACTTATTGGACATTTACACGATGATGTACCTTGGTGTATGTTTTTCGTGGATAATATCCTTCTCGTGGGTAATACTTGAGAATGAGTTTATAAAATACTTGTATTTGGGAAGTCTACATTAGATTCTAAAGTCCTTCGTTTGAGTAGATCTAAAATTGAATACATGGAATGTAATTTTAGTAGTAGGAGATCCAATGGCAGGGTTGTAACTATGAGTGATCAAATCATTAGAAGTTGTAAATGTTTTAGAGATCTCAGTCTATTGTTCAAAGTAATGGAGATATAGATGAGGATGTTATTAATAGAATTCAAGTTGGTTGGTTGAGGTGGAGGAATGCATCAGACCTATTGTGCGTTAGAAAAGTACCGCTTAGACTTTGGAAAATTTTATAAGATGACGGTGAGACATGCAATGCTTTATGACACAGAATGTTGGCCTTTGAAAGATAATCATAAAATTAATTTAAGCATTGCTGAGATGAGGATGCTTAGATGGATGAGTGGCTTGACACTTAGAGAGAAAATGCGAAGCGAATGTATTTGTGAAAGGCTGGTGTTGCTCCAGTGGCAAGCAAGATTAGAGAGAGTCGTCTTAGATAGTTTGGCCACATTAAATCTTGATTATCTGATGATTCGGTTAGGTGAGTAGATGTTTTTGAATTAACTTATGTTAAGAAGGGTAGAGGTCTAACGGGACTTGGGAATATTGTAAAAAAAAAAGATCTTAATTTATTAGAATTAAATAAGAATGTGACTCTCAATAGGACACAATGGGGAAAAAGCATTCATGTAGCCGACCTCACTTGGTGGGATAAAGGCTTGTTGTTGTTGAACTTGTGACAAAATGTTGGCCAATATTTGCTTCTCAAATTAGCTGATTTCACTTTTTCTTAGATCTTATCTGTAATAAATACTGAAAACATGAAATTTTCATTGATATTCTTAAAGTGACACTTTTTTGGGCGAATTTTATTGAATTTTCTGTGATTTGTTAGATTGAAATGTATTGACCTAAACATTAGATCTTTCTTGTAATCAAATTATCAATTTCATTTCATTGATAACCAGTTGATAATCGTATGCAAGTTACTTGCTTAATGGAAAAGAAATAAAGGATTATTTCTGGAATTAAAATGAACATAATGCAGTTTCTCTTCACCTGAAAGAACAAGGTGCAAATTGGAATTGATGGAATGAACATCCACCCACATGAGAGTGGTTTGGTGTGGTCCTTTACATCCCAATTTGCTTGAAAGAAGATGAGTTAATTCTGGAAGAATGTTCTTAACCGATTATATCTTCTTGTGACTGTCAAGAACTCTGCCTGTAATATAGAATCCTTCTATATTTGATGTTAAATGAATTGTTTGTTCTGCAGGCTCAATCTGAATGCACTTGTTGACCACTTAAAAATGGCTTTGGATTGCTTTTTCGCCGTATGGTTTGTTGTTGGAAATGTTTGGTTATTTGGCGGCCGCACATCTACTTCCAATGCTCCGAACTTATACAGGTACCCCTGTTTTTAAGTCGTCCGTAACGCCTCAAATTAATAAACAAAATGGGAATTCTGCTGTTGGTTTTGAGTTGACCTTTCTTTACTTTTCAGTCCTATGCGATATCATATTTCAAAATTTATCAAATAATTATTTATGCTACTAAAGATATTTTTATATTCAACCTCACATCCCTGCTGAGAGCCCTAACTGCTATCCACTCATTCCAAACTGTCTCACTCCATCCTATTTCCTCCCGTAATTTGATTGTTTTTTCAAAAACTTAGTTATTATTATATGTTTATCAAATAATTGTTTGTGATACCCATCCTATTTCCTCCCGTAATTTGATTATTTTTTCAGAAGCTTACATGCAGTTATTATTATATGTTTAATAAGCAGCAGTAGCAATTTTATCATGAGCAGAGGTTTTACATGATGATGACCAAATTGAAGGAATTCAATGTTGACCTCTAATCACTTTTAGATCTATATTGCAATAATCAAATAATACGAGAACATTACTAGATTTATGGAGGAAACTGTGGAGGAAGTAAGGGCTTTGGGATATAAATATGGTCTAAGGAGGAGTAATTGGCCAACTCAAGGACCATTGATGAATTCCTATGAAAATTCTCTTTTCGTTTGGACTAACTCGCTGAGATAGTAATTCTCTGAAATTGTCAGGTTATGCATTGTTTTCCTTACATTCAGCTGCATTGGGTATGCTATGCCATTTATCCTATGTGCTATGATATGCTGCTGCTTGCCTTGCATAATTTCAATCATGGGCTTGAGGGAGGAGATGATTCTGACAAGAGGAGCCCCTGCCGAATCCATTAATGCTCTGCCAACTTATAAGTTTAAAGTGAAGAGAATGCAGACTGCTGGCGAAAGTGAAATAGATTCGGAGAGTGATGGTGGTATTGTGGCAGCCGGAACCGATAAGGAACGAATCATCTCAGCTGAAGATGCTGTGAGTTGCACATCTTCTTTATTCAATTTAATTTTTTTGGTTTTTTGTATTGATTTTCTTAATTAAGAATTGAGTACTGGTGGTAAACATTAACAAGGTAGCTGGGCTCTTGTTTAGAGTTGGGAGCAAAAATGAGCTTAAAAAATCTTTTTTATGCTGAACTTGTTTATTTGATGGCTCTATTGCTTGGAAAATATGTAATTTTTAATAATTTTAGGAGTCTTGTAGGAGTCATCAAACAAATTAAAACATATGTTTTTTATAATTTTAAATATCTTTATTGGGTTTTGATTATATAATAGTGGTAAATTACATGATTAAAAAGTGTACTTTACATACTATTTTATATTAGGGGAGGTTACAATACATACATACCACACAATTTTTATATTTTTAAATATCTAATACCTAAAGTTCGATATTTACTTTTATAATGGTAAACTTATCCATGAAATGTTGTATTTCACTTTTCAAAAGTCATTAATAATGTCATTTTTTATGTGATATTAAATATTTGAGTTTTATGCATGTAAATATTAAAGTTTAGGTGTTAGATATATAAATACAGAAGAAGAGTGGTTTGTATGTCAATGGCCATGGATTTTAAGATTTCTGCCTCTCTCTCGGTATGTCAATGGCCATGGATTTTAAGATTTCTGCCTGTCTCTCTCGCTCTCTCTCATAAACACTAATCTTAATAGAATCTGATACAGGTATGCTGCATATGCCTCACAAAATATGTCGACAATGACGACCTCCGCGAGCTCCCATGTAACCATTTCTTCCACCTGGAATGCGTCGATAAATGGCTCAAGATAAATGCCCTATGCCCTCTCTGCAAGAAAGAAGTAGTCAACAACAGTTCTTCATCTGCTGCTAACCTTAACCAACAACAGGAATCATAATCAGCGAAAGGGTTCGAAACTTCAGTCCAGCTTTTGGAGATGTTGATGAAAAGCTTCCACCAGCTCCTTATTTGGTTGCTTTGAAGTTAACTTTTCTGCATATATAAATAAATATATAATATACATCATATTGCTGCAACCATAGTGTTTTTTGTAGCCTCTCTTCTTGTGTTTTAGAGGAAGATGGCGATTCAAGCTGGTCATTTGTACAATAAAATACTAGAAGAATTTAAGTATCGTTTTTTTTTTACTGGGTTGATTACTCCCTCTAGTAATGGAATGGATATCATCAGCAGCACCTGAAATGTTTCTTCTGATCATTTTATCTGGTGCAGGTCTCTGTAAATGAATTTATTTTCAAATTTTATCTTAATGTGAGATTCATATATGTTGGATACACCAAATTTATCTTATGTAATGAATATACTTGAGAATCTGCTTTGTTTTTGTAATTTAACTTGCTCCCAGGCTTCATGTACCCCATCTTTTTTACAGGGATTGAAGTCACCCATTAAAAAGAGGAATATTTACATATATAGATACCACTCAATATCTATGTATTTATATTTCTGGCACTTAAATTTTAACTTTTATATATATCATATATGCCACTTTATCTATGCATAAAGAGGTGTGTATTATATTTTGAAAGTTGAAAATGTAGTACTTTTGATGTGATGTGAAAGATTTGAACGGTATAAATATAAAAAAGTAAAATTGAGGTGTTAGATGTTTAAATACATAAGAATTGAGTTGCATGTTTGCAAATGCCCCTAAATTTATTTAAGAAAAATGTAACGTATGTATTGATTTACAGTACTATGATTATGTATGGAAAAATGGCTGGCGTATGATATGATTGTGCTTCTGATTTTATTGGATTCTATCAAAATCAATCGCTTTGCTTGATAAATTTGTAGCATTTCAGCTGCACATCAAGTTGTATGAAGTACTTGTCATCATCATCATTAATTCTGTTTAATTACTTGAACTTAATTGTACGTTTGAAATTAGTTTAGATTTGAGAATAATAATATATCATGCTGTGCGCTGCAGTTCATCCTCTGTCACTATTCCCATTATCATCAGTGAAGTTCATTCTGTTCTTCATATTTCCATTACCACATCTTCAATTTGATGCTCTAAATGCTCAGTATAGTCTTTTAAACATATACTCCCCCTCATAATTAGTAATCATGATTTGACAAAAATATCAATATCATCATTAATATAATCTTATTTCAATTATTTACTCTGTTATTTGAATTGTGATTGCATGAGGAATATTAAAACTTTGTATTCATTTTATAAAAATTATTTTGGAAATATTTCTCTCCAAGAAAATGGATACATTGGGTCGTATTTTAATTAATTTATCCTTTCAGTTTTGATTTTATATTAGCAAATGTGTTTTAAGCAACGTTTTCAAAACCAAACCGAATTGGCTGGTTCAACCTGTTTGACCTTGAATCGGTCAACGGTTCGGTTCTGGTTGTGCTAAAAAACGGCTCTGCATCGAACCGAAAAGAACCAGCTGAAACCGACGGTCGAACCAACCAACCGATTAAAGTGCAATTTTTTTTTCTTATACCATATTTTTATTGAAAACCATGAATAATGGTTTGAATTTTTTGATTTCACGAAGAATGTGTCTTGCTCTAATAATTCACAACTTCATTTTTCTTATTTACCTTTTTGTGAAATATGCATGACTATTAGTCTATTATCTTTTCTTTTTTTTTGTTTTTATATTTTCTTTGATATGTCTCTCTCTTATTGATCTTACATACTGAATTTTTTCTAATTTTTATGTCATTTAAGTAATATTTAATATTTTTTTATATTTACGACATCACCGGGATCAACCTCTGGTTCAACCGTTGAACCTTGAACCTTGAATCTTTTCTTCTACCTGTTCAATGTCCAGTCCAATCTCCTGAACCTTGGTTTAAAATTTTTTTTATATTTTTTGGAAGGAAAATGCATTGTTTCCTAGAATTATAAAAACGTTTCTATGTATACTTTCATGTTTTTAAAATATCCTTAATGACTGTTTTAATGGAATAATTAAGATAATTAAATATTGAACAAAGAAAAAATTGACATAGTAAATGAGCTTCACCCGCATATTCGCATATTTTTAACATTTTAATCCATCTTCTTAGGGATTATGGCATCACTCGCCCTACAAATATCCACACAGTAAAGTTTATTTATTTATTTATTTTTAGGTAACTTCTCACGCACATTTCTCATTTACTTTCGCCTAATCTGGTTGGGACAATTTTCTCTCAGCGTTGTGTTTGTGATTGTCTACAGAAGAGAAGCATACGACTCAAGAGATAAAATACGAAACCGATATGTCGGTTAAAGGGCTAGTGTAGCTCCAGTGGTAAAAAAAAAGTTATTTCAAGAAAGATTGCAAAACTCCGAAAATGGTTAGTGGTGGAGGCCAAAGTAGGAATATCTCTATAAATTTCTCTACAGGAGAAATCCAATGTGACTCTCTGGTTTTATCTATAGTTAGTATTGAAACTTAGTAGATTCATGTTGCTTTTTTATGGATGCTCCAATAAAATTGTGTTTAAAAACTACACTTTGAGTGAATAAGGTCTGCAGTATCTAAGAAAGGGTGATTAATATCAAATTTTCTAATCTCGGCAAGCCAAGAAAGGCCGAATAGCTGAGTTTTGAGTGTTGCTTATGCTCAACAAGATTGAATGACATTTTAAGTAAACAAATGCTCGACGATGATTGTCCATTAATATTAGAAATGCACCTATGAATGAGAAAATTATTATGGATCTTATGGCGGTACTGAAAATGATGTATGAGGAACCTTCTATTTTAGATAAGATTTTTCTAATGAAGGCGTTATTCAAAATGAAGATGGTGGAAGATTGTTCGGTGGCACTTCAACAATTTCAATATTATGACTAGTCAATTGCGTTTTATGGGTATCAAATTTGATGATGAGGTCAGAAAACTATTAATTTTATGTTTTATTTGGAACAAGTACAACGACTGGTCATGACGATGAGGGAACTTTTCGGGTAATATGAAGTTCAACTTCGATGAGGTCGTAGGGCTAGTGTTGAATGAAGAAAATTGCAGAAAAATAATAAGAGCTGAATCTTAAGGTTATGCGTTGAATATTGAAAACAGAAGAAGAAATCAGGACATGAATACAAACATAAGCAAATTCAAATCCAGAAGAGGAAGGTCCAAGTTTGGCAAAGGAAATGGGATATGAGAATGTCGAAACTGCAAAAAAAAAGTTATTTCAAGAAAGATTGCAAAACTCCGAAAATGGTTAGTGGTGGAGGCCAAAGTAGGAATATCTCTATAAATTTCTCTACAGGAGAAATCCAATGTGACTCTCTGGTTTTATCTATAGTTAGTATTGAAACTTAGTAGATTCATGTTCCTTTTTTATGGATGCTCCAATAAAATTGTGTTTAAAAACTACACTTTGAGTGAATAAGGTCTGCAGTATCTAAGAAAGGGTGATTAATATCAAATTTTCTAATCTCGGCAAGCCAAGAAAGGCCGAATAGCTGAGTTTTGAGTGTTGCTTATGCTCAACAAGATTGAATGACATTTTAAGTAAACAAATGCTCGACGATGATTGTCCATTAATATTAGAAATGCACCTATGAATGAGAAAATTATTATGGATCTTATGGCGGTACTGAAAATGATGTATGAGGAACCTTCTATTTTAGATAAGATTTTTCTAATGAAGGCGTTATTCAAAATGAAGATGGTGGAAGATTGTTCGGTGGCACTTCAACAATTTCAATATTATGACTAGTCAATTGCGTTTTATGGGTATCAAATTTGATGATGAGGTCAGAAAACTATTAATTTTATGTTTTATTTGGAACAAGTACAACGACTGGTCATGACGATGAGGGAACTTTTCGGGTAATATGAAGTTCAACTTCGATGAGGTCGTAGGGCTAGTGTTGAATGAAGAAAATTGCAGAAAAATAATAAGAGCTGAATCTTAAGGTTATGCGTTGAATATTGAAAACAGAAGAAGAAATCAGGACATGAATACAAACATAAGCAAATTCAAATCCAGAAGAGGAAGGTCCAAGTTTGGCAAAGGAAATGGGATATGAGAATGTCGAAACTGCAAAAAAAAAGTTATTTCAAGAAAGATTGCAAAACTCCGAAAATGGTTAGTGGTGGAGGCCAAAGTAGGAATATCTCTATAAATTTCTCTACAGGAGAAATCCAATGTGACTCTCTGGTTTTATCTATAGTTAGTATTGAAACTTAGTAGATTCATGTTCCTTTTTTATGTATGCTCCAATAAAACTGTGTTTAAAAACTATACTTTGAGTCAATAAGATCTGCAGTATCTAAGAAAGGGTGATTAATATCAAATTGTCTAATCTCGACAAGCCAAGGAATAAAATTAGGGTATTTGACTACTCTCATAGGTGAGTGACTAGAGAAACAATAAAGATAGCTTGGGGCAAAATCGAAGGCACTCTTTACATGATCAATGAGATGGTGGAATTCATTGATAGGGAACAAAGGTTGATGCAAGTTTATGGTACCACATGCTTGGCTATATGCGTGAGGAATGTATGAT